AAGAACTAGTAAAGTTTTGTATGCATTATAATAATGTAGCTGTTGAAGGTTATAATTATATTAAGTTTAGATTGACTTGCGACCAGAGATTAAGCAGGGTATTAAATATCAGGAGATTCGTCAATTTCTTATGTTGGTGAATAAATGCAGAATATATGATGAGGATTGTAGAGCTTGATTTTCTCACTATAAGAGTCTTACCATTGTTGTTTAATGTCATTTATTACACTTTACATCTTTGTCATTTATCAAAGTTTCCATTTATTTAAGTTTTGCATCTATTTTATCTTCATACAAACAGTTGCATTTAATTCATGCATATTGATTTTTGTACAATTAATTTGCACTAATTGTTTTTGAGATTTTTCGAGTTAATCTGATAAGCACAGTAAACTCGTGATTGTTTAACAAAAACACATGTGAATAATTCGTTAGCTTAGCCTGGGATAAAAGCTATCTTTGATTGGGATAAGCTTGTAAAAATCTCAAAAGTTCAAAGTTTATAGTCAAAATCTTAAGAAAACCTCTTGGGGAAATAACTATGTCAAAGTTCATCCAAACTTGTATAAATCTCTGATGCAATATCGCTAACTCTATCATTTTAAATTCACCTATTTACTTTACTATTTTATTTTTGCTGCTATTCACTCTTAAGAAATTACTAACACGGTCTTAATCGAGAAAAGTATAAAAGTAATCGCGAATTTTAAATACCACAGTTCATCCTCCCTCTCTTTTGCTTAAAGTTTCTTTTCCAACAATTAATTTGTCAAAATATCTAGTTTAGTTTGGAGATTAGCTTGTCGAAATCTGTAGTTTGGTTTTAAGATTAGCCTGCTAAAATAACTTGTTTGTTTTGTGAGATTAGTCAATTAAAATCTTCGTTTGGTTGTAAGAATGTTTGTGGGAATAACTTGTGAAAACCTCACACATATAGTGAAGCTCTTAAGAGGAAATTATTGGAATATCGAGTAGACAAAGTGGTTAGGCTGAATGATATAAATTTCTGATGCATGTTGTCTTTCCCTTATCTGCTTTTTTTCCTTTGCTTTATTTTCTTTATGCTTTATTTATTTCTCTGTAACTCCTCTTTTTCTCTTACTTCTATTTTGACACTTAATTTCTATTTAACTAATAAAATTAACTTAAATATTTTTTATAATTGGACAATATTATTCAACCAACGCAATTCACCCCTCCCTCTTATGTTTAGAATAACTTAGTCAACATAACAGGTGAAATAGGTTTTGATCATAACAAAAGAATCAAAGTGAAATATCATAGAAATTATCAAATAAAAAATAAAGTTTGAATCAAATCAAAAAACGAAAAACTTATGATAATTGGCTCAAAAGAATCAAATGTTAAATAACATTATCAATAAACAGTCTCATCTTCTAAAAACTCGCGTATGAGCATGTGTTATGTTACTTTTTCTCTATAATCATAATTAGTAATATTAAGAGTGCCCTCTTTAAGTAATAAGGTTACACGTACACACTAAAATTATTTTTAAAACATTATATATTTCAAAACTTCTTTTAAAATTCATTTGTATTGGGCCAAAATGTTTTAAACTGAAGTATAATTGATTATGAAGTTTCTATAATCGATTATATAAAGAAAATGGACCTATAATTTATCATGGACCTTGATTAATCAATTATGGGGATATTTATCGTAGTAATCGATTATGGAGGCCTCTTAATCAATTATGTTTCATATCTAACAAAATTCTCTATATTTTTTAGGAGACCTTTTAATCAATTATGTTTCATATCTAGCAAAACTCTCTATATTTTTTAGGTCATAATTGATTATAGATACAATAAAATTGATTATGATGTAGATCAGGGACTTGTATTGATTTGAAAACACAAAGGAGATCTGAATACTTCTTTCTCCTATACTCTTTCCTTGCACTAAATTTTTCTTATACAGTTAAAATATACATTTAGTACAGAGAGAGAAACACTTAGTATATTTTTTCTTGTGTAACTGTCGCTTTATCATTTTGATATAAAATAGTAAAACAAGATAGGTATGTTCTCTTGAACTCTGACAAATTATAAAGGTTTTAAGTTGATCATGAGATAAAAATTTGGTGTAGGAAGATTGAGAGTTGAGTCTATGTTAAAATCTCTGTGATAATGGAAATTTCAAGATGTAATTCTTAGGGATTGAGTTAGCCTTTGTCGTTTTAGGTCGAACTATTATAAATTTTGGTGTATTCCTTCTTTTTTCTTATCTTTTGCTTTACTTTTATATATTTTTCCGCTCTAATTCTCTTCTTCTATTTATTTCTTAAAATCAATTCTAAAATCGATTAAATTTCTCTAAATTTTAAAAATGTTTTTCATCACAATTCACTCCTATTATGTTTGAAGTCAATTTGTTAATAAATGTGATTGTGTCTCTATCCTTGTGAATTATTATTTGTGAATTATTATTTATGCATGAGGTGGTTTCATTATGATTGGGGTAGCGAAACGTTTGTTTTGGGTGTTTAGGACTTTCACTTTAGTATATGAATAAGCATATATAATAGAAGAAAACAATCTTTTATTTGGGTTCTTAAGTAATTATCTTGTTGATAATTATATTTAAGTTTCCTCATTAAAGTTTGGATAATTGTCTTTTTTCTTGGGCAAAGTTTGGATGATTGTTTGGTACATTGTAGTGGGTTTAATTTGTCATAATATTAATGGATTCTTGATTATTATAATGACATAATGGAAATTGATGAGATGTAGATAATTAAATATTTTGTTTTAATTTGTTGTGTAATAATTTTTAGTTTATTTTAATTTAGAATTGTAATAGTTTGATTTAGAATTAGTTGATGCTTGATTCCTTTTATTTATTTTAGGAAAATGTGGTGTGATTAAATATGGGTCTTAGATCCTAGTTTTCTCTTCTTTTTTTTTTATTTCTTAAAAGGATGATTTTAGGGTTAATTTTTTTATTTAAAATCACCTTTTTAAATTTTTTTTCTTTTTATTTAAATAAGTGATTTCACATATATTTTTAGTTTTTCTTTTGTGATTTCGCCGTCTTAGTGTGATATTGTGTTGATCGTCGTCTTATTGTGGTGTTATTTGATTTTTCTGTCTTTAGTGTGGTGTTTGTTCGTTCAGATTGACAGAATAGTTACGATTCCGTACATATTCAACCAATGAGTTTGACGTCCTCAACGCTGCAAACTCGGAGACATGAATATTCTGAGCATTTCAATTATATTTGTAGGCTTTGTTACATTTGTAGACATTTTATCATTATATGCTATTAACACGAGTATTGTAAATTTGTTCGCAGATTCATCATTTTCAATTTATAGCGATTTTAAATTTGTATTATTCGATATATTCTATCAATTTAAATCAATAAATGTGATTTTTAATTTTTTTAAAAAATGAACCTAGATAGTGGTGTCATTTATAACACATTTAAGTTAAATAAAAGTCTTGTTAAAAATAAACATTTTTAACCTCATTTGAAGAAAAATAAAATAAAAATTAATAGAATTTTCTCTTACGATAAATGTGAGTGAGTTAAGTCTCTAATTATTTGGTTATTGGATTAGAACATTTATTAATTCTTATCAATAGAATCCTTATTATTATGAAAAATTCCAATGATATCATATATTATAAGAAATGTATTAAAAAAAGACCTGTGCGATGTAATAATCACGTTATTATAATTTTTTATATTAAAAAAATAAAAATAACGTTCATATGTAGAGATTCTGATTTTTTATTAAATAAAATTATTTACGACGTATGATTCGGGTCGCTACCAAGAAGTTATAAAAAAAAATTTAACGTTTAAATTGAAGGATTTTTCAAATTTTTTAAAAATTTGGTTGTGACATAATTTTCACAAATAAAGTATTTTTATTTTTACTTTCCAACTGCTATGTCTCTTCTCCTGTAAAGGTAGAATTTCTATACAAGTCTCTTGCAACGTGATTTTGACATGAAAATCACGTCACAAAAAAATTATCATCCACTCCCCAATCATGTGATGATTCACGTCGCAAATAAGAAATTGTGACGTGATTTTTCACGTCGTGCATGAATTTCACATCGTAAATAATTTTTTTTTTAATAATCAATATTCTAGGTTGTGCCATCTTTCTTCTTCATCTTCTCTACCTTGTTCATATTCTTTGCAAAAGTACTTATAAAAAAGGCATTTAAAAAAGAAAAAAGTTGAGAATCGTTCAAGTTTGATTTTAGTATCTTACCTACTTCATATTTGAATCACTTAATCATTTTTAATATTTCTTGAGTTGTTTCATTCGCAATTCATTTGACTGTGTCTTCTTATGTTTATCTTTTTTGTTTGTATTTAAAAAACTCTCTTTGTCTTGTCCTATAGTAATATTTATTTAAATTCTTGTGTTGAAAGCCTTTATAATTTGTTGCATTGTGTTTGGAGTTCATTGATTCTGATTCTTGCTTGGTTACTTTTGAAAAACTTGTAAAAAGGACTGAGTTGAAAAAGTTTTAATTGAGTGAAACATGAGTTACAAATTTAAGAGTATAAATATCGTATTCGATAAAATTATTTATTTCAAAAGTAAGTGTTATTTTTAGTTTTTAATATAATATTAATTTTTATCTTTTTGTTATGTCCTCTAATTAATACTCTCAATTTATTATTCTCTCATTTTATATTTATGATCATTCGAATACATCAATATTAAACAATAATAATTTTGTAAAAGTACTATTATCTATTTTTATTTATTACATTTTCTTAAATGGAAAACGGGAGCATTCTTTCAACAAAATTTGCAAGATCTTACCTACTTTCTTAAACAATTTATACAACAACTTAAACACTTTATTTAACAAAACTATATACATATGTAACCATGTTTGTAAGGGTAAAAAAGAAAAGAAAAATAAAAAACATTGAGTGGCCTATACGTGACTTGTGGCTTTACAATCTAAAAATGCACATAATAAAAAAAAAAAGCAAAAATAATAATTCTAATAACTAGAAGTTGGTTGGTTTGTTGAAATCAATTTGTTAACAATAGACATAATAATAGCACATAGATTTTGTACATAACGGTTTGTATCCCTTAAAGGCTTTCTAGTTGAGTTTTTGAACTTGTTATCACATGTCTCAGCTTGTATACCAGCTACATAAGCTCTTTGTTTAACAATCTTATAATCACGTTTGTTAAGAGCATTTAGAGCCTCGTGTAGATGCACATTAACTATCATGTTGTATGAAGCAAGACAATCTTTCAAAGCCTCTTTTTCCATTGGGCAAGTGGTTTTTATGTAACCCTTTTTTATATGATCTAGGGTTATGGAAGCATTGGCATTAACAATCCTAAGTGCTAAACGACCAAATCCAACAATGTCTTGTTTAGATCTATGGTTGATTGATGATCTTAGAGTCATTGTGCAAAGGTGGTAATGAGGTGATTGGCGGCATATTTGTTCCAACAAACTAGTGTGTGAGAGAGTGGATTGGATTGGTTGAATCAATATGGTTAATATCAACAAATGAAGGATTAAAATTGTTTGCTTCATTTTCTTTATAGGTTTGTTTTTAACAACATGAAAAAGTTTTTTTATTGATTTTATACTTCTATAACATGTTTTATATGATGGAATGATACCATTGATTTTTTGTACTTTTTTTAGAAAATAATATCTTGACGTTTTCCTTTCTGCTCGCTAATGGGATGAAATCTTTGCGGTAAATATGGTTATAATTTTTTATTTAGCTATATATTTTTGGCAGAAATTATTATTCCATTGGCTGACCTATCTCATTCAGAATTTTTATCAAAAACTAGATGTCTGGTTGCAAATTATATGATACATGGTCCATGTGAAGTTTATAACTATATGTCAACATGCTTGGAAGGAATAAAATCTTCCAATAATTATTAAAATAGTACGCATTATGGCTATATAGATACCTTGAGGCACTAGAATGTGATCTTATCAATTGGCTCAAACTCTTTATCAAGAAGAATATCTTTGTTTTAGATGTCTAGGGGTGAATTGATTACACATGAAGATAGGAACACTAAATAATATCGATCAAATACCAATGTGCATAATATGAAAAATAAAACCATAGCTTTAATATATGAGAATATTGAGTGGGAGTTTGAGATTGAGAAGCTAAAAAGAAGGAGAGACAATATTTTTCTGATTTTTTTATAAATATCAAGAGAATAGGGAGTCCATTGTATCTTTTACCTATCATCATACTGTTAATTGGATTTTTCAACGTGTATTTCCTTTCAAGGTAATTAAGAAAGAATTGAGATGAGTTTAGAGACAAATTAGATGTTTTCGACATGTTTATTAGAGTTTGTTTCGACAGACAAGTTTGAAGAAATATGTTGAAGGTCCTGCATGTACACTAATGTTTCGGGACTTAGTGATGTTTGAGACTTGATTTGCACGTTGTTTTCGACTATGAAAGTTTGAAATTCGAAAATAAGATGAAGTAACTATTTTTTGGCCTTATCCATTATTAAGGATGCATGGAAGTGAATCGAAGACAAGACACATGCAAGCGATAATGTGTCAGATTCTGAAGAAAAGACCATTCGAGTTAGTTATTTTGATTTTAGTATAAATAGGAGTTCTAGTGTTAGATTTTCATGTGTTCAATTGCATGAAAAACTCATATTACTTAAAGTATCTGGCGTATTGAGAAAAGAGTCAGAATTGAGTGAAATGTACGTATGAAACACCATCTTTATTTAATGCAAAGTCATGTTCTTTAAGTTATTTTCTTACTTTTTTATTGTGTCGAAGTCTTTTACGTTCATCTTCTTTTTACAAATCATTTTCATATTCTCTTGAAGATTCGTTTAACGTCGAAATCTTCATTTTCAAACACAAATTACAACAACTTAAGAAATTTTATGCACAATATGTCCTAGGATTAATCTAGTCGATCCTGCAAACAATCAAATTATCATTTGGAAGATTAGTGGTTGTTTACGAATTTCCACCGTAAACAAATTGGCACACCCAACGGGACTGTTTGTGATATAAAATTTTACATTGTTTCTAAACTTTTTGCATGATCTTCATTTATTAAACTTTTTTAAAATCGCGAGTGTGCATGAGATTGAGAAGTGGTAGGATAGCCAATAACAACATGACCGTTCCAAAAATAAATACGTTAGGAAAACGGTGAATCATGGGAATAATAACAATGGAGAACAACCTTCTACTATTGTGGGAGAAGGCAAAGTCGTTGTGAATTCGACTAAAATAGTGGTTTCTATAGCCAGTACGATGGTAGTACCATCAATAACATAAAGTGGGCCAATATTATCCTCACCAATAACCCAAAGTCACCCTATGACTCCTAGACCAAGGATGGCTAGTGATTACAGGCCTTACTTTCCCAGTTTCACAATGTCTATGAATGGTCGTGAACAAATTTATGGAATGCCAACTTCGATAATGGCAAGTTTACATAACAATTCATCAACGTTTGTTGACCCAACGGAGACCATATATTCTTCATTACAAGGGTCGAGATTGACAGTAAATAATTTTGGTTGAAATACCCAGTCTTTAGGGATGACATTCCCATCCTAAGCAATGCTTACATTCACTACGAGTTTAGTGAATATTTTGAGGCAGCAAATAGATGAAAGTAACCATGAAATGGTGAATCTGATCACTCGATAAATGTGTACCATATTCAACCCTTTGATATAAAGTAAGACGCAAAGTAATCAACAACTAGCGACTCAGATGACACAAATTGCAGATTTCTTTGGTGCCTCTCGGGCATAGATTCAGCCAGTCGTGCAACCATAACCTGTCAGGCATGTCTGAAATGGGGGAATAATCCTTGAAGAAACGGTTAACCAAGGCCAACCGTGCGTACCTCAAGTGGTAGAACAAAATATTCCTAGAATGTTTGAACAACCTATACCTAGAGAAGATGCATAGCGGGAGAGACCAGGATGCGGACCAAGTGATCCATCGAGTTCGACAAGATGACATAGCGGGAGAGAATAATCTTGCTGCCATGGTCGAAAGGATAATGGTGTGAAACAGGATGAATGTTTGCTTTTGTAGGCCAAATTATGTCTCCTCATTGTTGGAATATGTATTAAAAATAGAACTCCCTAGGGGATGGAAAGTCCTAAAGTTCACTAAGTTTTCTGACGATACGGGTGAATCCACAGTGTGATACGGTGGGAGAACTGATTTTTAGGTTTTGTGTTTTATCGCAAATGTTGCGGATAGTAAGATTCTCCACCGACTTTTCTTTTATCCAATAAAGGAAAGGGTGAAAAGAACATAAAAGACCTTTGAGAATTTTTCTGAGTAAGGGGGGTAGGTTATGAAAAGGGAAGGTATTAGCACCCTTTTCATCCGTAGTTATCTACTAGCTCTTAATCGTAGCTCACTTTTGAAATAATTTGTGTTTGTGTAAGTTTGAAAGTATTTTGAAAATACCTAAGTGCGGAAAACTTTGTAATGATTCTTGTATCGTTGAGAATGCATACAAAGTGTTTCTTTTGAATATATTTTAGAAAAGAGTGTATGTGTGAAAAATGTTTTTGATTTGTGAGAAAGCGACTACGAGTTATCTACCTACTCAAAAGTCTTTGTTCTTTTCCTCCTTTCCCTTAGATAGTGCTATCCTACCCTTAGTTAGTAGGAAGTCTTGTCATTGGATGTTTGAGGGACAGGTGCGGGCCATCGTACAGTCATAAAGGCAACTTGTAGGATGCTTTAGCAACTTTATCGTAAGGGACTAAGATCGTTTACCGAGGTAGTATCGAAGGGTCAATGAGGGACTACGATCTTTTAACTGAAGGGTCTTTGCTAAAGCATCCCACGTTCGAGGGACATGAATTTTTTTATCCGAGGCAATAAGTGAGGGTCACCCTAGAGGTGCGCGTGTGTGAAGTATGTTGAGATTCAGTTAATTTGTCTTCGATTTATGGTTATCTAACGTTTGTTTTTATTCTTTGCCATACAATCCTATTAAACTAGCAGTTATATATATATATATATATATATATATATATATATATATATATATATATATATATATATATATATATATATATATATATATATATATATATATATATATATATATATATATATAAGTGCGGAAATTAAAAATGCGGGAAATAGAATCTACACTATTACAATGCTTCGGGGATGGAGAGTACAAACCATACAACGGGGAGGGGGAAATTAAAGTCAACCCTATTTTATCTATTACATCGCTTAAGAGTTACATAATTATAAAATAACAATGCAAAAAATAAATAAGCGCACGGAGATTATGAAAAAGGAAAATATTAAAACCTAAAAAAATTTCCAAGTGTTAGAAAAATGTTTTTTTTTGGTGTTTTGTTTAGAAAAAATTTTCTAGTGTAAAAAATGATAATTAATCCTAATCCTAATTAGTTTACTAATTAATTAATAAAATAAAACCAAAATGTGATTAAGTTAAATTAATTTTATTTATCAAAAATTAAATTAATTAATCAAAATCCTAAATCTAATTTTAGTGATTTTTGTGATTTTTTCTGATTAAATAAAATTGATTAAAATGAAAATAATTAATTAAAATAAAAAAAACAAATGGGCCTGCTGAAAACAAGTAAATGGGGGGATGAGAAAAGAAAAAATATCATAGGCCTAATTCAAGGAGCACAGGCGCCTGTGAGATCCAGTGAGAATAATTCTTTGAAGCCTATGGTGTGCGTGCTGATTTGGAGCATTGGATCAAGATCTGTGGAGATCTGATGGTGTGGAATTAGATATGTATGATGCACACTGAACATGACCTATACGGGATCTGCAAGAGAGAAATCATGAAAAATAATATACCAGGGGCAGGGATCGAACCCCTGCCCTGGAACACTATTACCTTTGTAAACATGCGCTTACCGCTGGGGCGATCGTTACATCTGAAAGTCTAAACACAAATAAATAAATATATAATAAAAACAATTTAAATATTTAATTTTAAAAACACAGTCAAAACATGTGGACCCATGTTGTTTGGATTAGCCATTCAGGATGCTTCGTTGTGTCACGCCAGCCCTGCCGGAATCAAGCAAAACTCAGGGACGCCGGAGTCAACCTCCGGTCGTCCCAAAACACCAAACCTGCAAAAAAGTCAAATTTGAAAAGCCAAAGGTATCCTATCCTACTAAATCAGACACTTCGAATCCATTGGTGGGGTTCTCTTGATCTGAAAATGTCTATATGCAGAGATTCAAAGGTTTCAGTTCGCGTTTCCCTAGAAATGGCACAGACTTGTTCCTGCGCTAAAGCTCACATGTTATGTGTTAGATATGTTCTAATTATGCATACAAACATATATAAACACATGAAATTATTTAATAAGGCGTAAATTGAAAGATTCAATTTTGAGAGTTTAACCAAGACCGGTGAGATCGAGTGGCTTGTTCTGGCTGTGCTTTGGCTTGATCTTGGACCCTGGAGGACTACTAGGGACTTCAGGAGTTGGATGTTTGCTTTTGTTTGGATGGAAAATGGCTGAGAATGTG